ATGTATGTTCCTGCTAAATTCCGCTAAAGTAGATGCACTCGGTCATAAAGCTCTTATGTAAAATAAAAGTAGTGAACAATTGTTTATGCTGGTCTCGTTTCTAAATGCGCTAAACAAACTCTGAGTTCATATCTCGCAACAATCAAATGAACTCATGTGCAATGAGGTTGCTGATCACCGACATGACATAGTGTAAATGAGTCAATTCTAGTGTGGTTACAATGAAATATGCATGAATTATTTTAACAACAAATGCGCGACCGATTCATTAAATTCTAGTTAATTGGGGTATAAGACGAATTTCAGTTCTTTGATTTATTATTCAAAGGCTGTGCTAGCTCTGCTGACTTTCATTAATCCCTGAAGGCCAACTTCTGTTGCAGTATTGGTAATCTTAATAAAGTAAAAAGCAAACTCTTGTTATCACAGCAGTCAATATCAGTTACATCTTCTCTCTGGTACCCGGCTGTGGCACCTTTCGCCATATTACGGTCTAGCGTTGACCTGCGTTATAATGCCCTCAAGCAGGAGTGTTTTACCTTAAAAAAATATTTACACTCAGGTGACCACAATAGTATGGCCTTGTGCTTTCTTCTCATGTGGTGGAGGTGATTTTTCTGGTTTAATAGGATGGAAGGCGAGAAGGGCGGCCGGAATCGAGACCCAAGATCTTCTGACTGCGAGTACTATCTCCTAAGCGATACTGCGAGTACCAGTACTATCTACTATGCTAATAAAAGAAAAGGTTAGCGGCAGGTGTAACTTTGGTCTACTTTGATCAGTTTACTCACTAATAAAAATTTGCCATCCCTAGGGACAAAAATTCAAATTTTCATGAAAAATGCCGATATACAGTAGAGGAAACTTTACTATAATCAGGTACATTCGAGATTCTACAACATATTCTGTTGTCAATTCATAATTCAGAAGCATTTGATAATAGGTGAAAAACATTTTTGGTAAACACTTGCACTGCAGTTACGATGAACATTTCTAAAGCTAATCAAGGCGTTTAAGTCAACGTGGCTGATTCAAAAGCTTGTCGCAAAGGCAGCGGGATCATGTCTCCAATGTTCTTGACCCTGTGCCGTGTCTGAGTTTAAACCGAAGATAGTCCAAATCTAGAGCAGAGCCGTTGAGGCACTCGCTACAGCTCATTCAAAGCCTTCCCAGGGGTCTTTGCTTGTATATCCAGCAAGTAGCTGCTTCACCTTCATTGTGACAACACTCGCAAAACGTGCTCATCCCAGCGCAGCTATGACCGCTTAATTCAGAGAAGCAGCAGTTGCATATAACAGCTTTCCCGAACATCTTAACTTCAGACTTAGTTGACACGCATGAACCTAGCGATAACTAGGTCTCAGACAGCTTGTTTCAGCCGCTCATATCCTGAATCAAAATTTCTAAGTTATGACCCATGACTCATCACCATAGGTGAGAGCATGTGGACTAAAATCAACTTGAGCACAGACAGCTTCTTTTTCAGACCCAGCTCTACCTTAGTCACAACGATTCTAGACAGTTCACGCAACACGCCATTGGCCAACTCGACTGACCGGACCTCCTCTTACTCTCCTTTTCTACCGCTAATAAGCACCAACCCAAGTGTGAACGTATCTACCTGTTCCTTTGCTCCTTCATGTGTCGACAGAGCGCAGCGGGCAGAGGAGCGAGACAGCACTAAGCTTAAAGGAGTAGACACATTCGAACGCATTCTGGGAAGGTGACTTGGATGCGAACCTTTCCAGAGAGCGCTGGAAATCAATTTTGGAAGATGCTAACAAAACAATATCGTGTGCGAACGGCAAACTTCTCGTCTCACAACATCTCCTACGCTGACACACTGGTTATCCTGGATGTACCTGACTATCTTATACATGCAAATACACAAGCAGGAGAAGGGAAAGAACGCAGCCTTGGCGGAGATCGGTGCCAATACTGAAATCTTTGGTCTTATTGCCATTTGCCCTGACGCAGCACCTGCTATAAACATACAGTTATTGGATATCGCGTAACATCTGGCATCGCTACCATATTTCTAAAGGTTATTCACAGACTTTTATGCGAAATCTGGTTACACTCGTCTTTTAGGTCTACAAAGCATATATAAAACCAGATAGGTACACTCCATGCGTTCTCAACAATCTGGAGTAGAACAAAGATCTGGTCCAAGGAAATTCGGCCTGAACCAAACGCACGCTGCTTTTCCTGGATCTCGGAGTCGGCTATTACGCCGTACC